CTTCAAGGTGCGCCGCCAGCCCCTGCTGGGACCTGAGCCCGAGGGGAGCCGGTCCCTCCTGCGTTTGGGGCCAGGAAGGAATTTCACTCCCGGGTCAGATTGGTCCTGACTGGGGGGGTGGCCCTCTGCCCAGCACTGTAGCAAGCGGGTGACTGCCCCGGGCACCAAAGCGGAGGCCCGCCGACAGGCACTGCCCAGACAGAGTGGGACATGGGACAGAGCCCTGAGCCATTCATCCAGGGGGTGCAGGGACAGAGGGAGGGCAGCTCCCACCACTGCCTGCACTCCTGCGGGGAGTGTGTGTACAGGGCAAGGGTAGGCTCCTGCTGCAGGCTTGCCCCGGGCACCGAGCTTCCTTGCTAGGGTGCTGCCTCTCGAGCATATGTTGACACTGATAGAGGTAGGGTGTGGGCTGCTGTCGTTCCCCTGCGTTACGTGTGAGGGTGTAGGTCCCTGTGGTGTCAGGGTTGAGGGTAGTCTTCAGTTGAGTTTAGATGATGGGTTGTATAGGATGGTTTGATAGGGCTGATCCTGCCTCGGGCAGGGGCTGGTCTCACTAGATGACCTCTGGAGGTCTCTTCCAGCCCTGCTTCTCTTTGAGTCCATGACAGCCTGTGTGACACCCTGCTTGAGAGCCCATGCCTTGCTGTTTTTGTGTAGGACCTACAGCTGGAGAGGGCTGGGAAAGGCTTGGATGGGGAGTCTTGGTAGAAGGGGCTTTCCATGGTGTCTGACCCCCCCCACCCAGGTGGCAGCCTGGTGCAGGGCCTGACAGTATTTGTAACCCCAGCTCAGCCCCAGACAACATCTTGAGGACATCATGGGGTGGGGCTAAAGTCCAAAAGCAGCACTGGGGTGTGTGCATGGGTTCTTATTGCACACTATCCAATAGGGGTCTGCAGGGTGCATTGTTTACAGGCAGGTCCTACAAAAAACAGTGAAAGGGCAGGGGAAGCTAGGTGGGAGGGTTCACTTGGGAAGCAAGGGCGGGCAGGTCTGCCTCCAGACCAGGGGAATGGCTCTAGGTGGGCTGTTTTGTCTCTGCAGCTGAAGAAACTGGACGAGGCAGTGGCAGCTGCACACACATTCTTCATGGCAAACCCCCAGCACCTGCAGATGCGTGAAGACATTGAGAAATACCAGCGGATGGCAGGGGTAAAGTCAGACAGTTTCCAGGACCTGGAGGCTATGCCACATTGGGTAAGACCACCGTAGAGCAGGGGTGGGGAAAATATGGCTCATGGGCCAGATCTGGCCCACTGAGAGATTTTGTCCAGTCCACAGTGGGTCTCTCAGTCCTGCCCAACCCAATGCTCAGGGGATGGCCTGGGCCATGGTCCTGCTGCCCCTGGGCATGCAGCGGGGCTGGGGCGGTGCAGCAGTGAACTCCGTTTCCTGATAGCCCTGGTGGCCACAGCTCCTCCTGGCTCCTGCTGCTGCTGGGCCCAGCCCTGCTGCCCTGGCACCCCAGCATATCCATCCCGCACCCACCGCTGGGGGCAAGGTGTGTAGCTGGGTGGATGAGATGGGGCCACAGGTGTGTGGGGAGGGCTGTTCAGGAGCAGGATGGGCAGGCAAGTCATGATCATAGGATGGGATCTTGGGGCGGTGATAGTGTAGGGCCAGGGCAGTCACAATCAGCTGCCCACACACCCCTGTGATAGGGGCAGGTTGCGTGAGCAGGGGCATGTGGGGAGCAGATTGCAGCTCTGCCCTGGCTGTGCGCTGTCACTGGCCCAAGATCCTGGCCCCAGGCACAGCTCCCCGCCTGCCCATAGCCCCATCCCATCTGCCTGGCTGCTTGCCCTGCCTATATGGGTCCTAGTCGGTCTCCATGGAGACCCTGGAATCACTGGCCAGTAACAGTGTGGGCGTGGGGCCTGGCACAGAGGTGCGATCTGCTTCCCATATCATGGGCGACTAGTGCCACCTTAGTCGGGGGGGCACATGCCCCGCCCCCCAGTGACCAGTCAGCAACCAGGAAGGTCCCCCTGCAGCCAAACTTGCCAAGCAGGAAGTGGCTGCAGTGCTCCCAGAAGTGGCTGCAGCGCTACATCCAGTGCTTCCACTCCCTGGGCGGCGCTCACAGGGGGGACACTGGTGCTCCCATCTGCTCCCCTGCCCATTGCCTAAGCAGGGAGTGCGGCCGGTGGGGGGGTGTGCCAGTGCTGTCAGGGGGTACACCCCCTACGTGTCACCATTGCCCCATACGGCCCTGCCCGGAGAATCAGCACCTGTTGCAGGTGTGTGCAGGCAGTGGATCATGGCTCTGCCCTTGGTCCTGGCCCTCTGTGTGGCTGTCTTGTGATCCTGGTCCCACCTGCCCATCTGTCCTGAGCACGGAGCAGAGCCACTTAGGGAACTGGGGTGCTGACCCAGCCTACAACAGCTCGCTGAAACTCCCTGTATGGTCTGCAGACCCAAATAATTGCCCTAGAGAGCTATATACCTCACCAGGTGCTCTGGAAAGCTGTACAACTTGCCTACCTGCTATAGTTAGGGACCAAAATAAAGCCCCTATCCTGCCTCTGCAAAAGAGGCAACTGCCTGAGACTAGGAGTGTGCATAGACAGTGTGACCTATGCATTGCCCAGGCAGGCCCCCAGATGGCACCACTACACTATTAGAGATGGATACCACCATACAGTCCTGGATAACCCTTAGCCTTCCATCAAGAGGCCCAGAAACTAAATAGTATCCGTGAATCTGTTCCTCACAGAAGGCATATGAGACTGGAGTGCAGCACTACAAAGTGGATGAGTACCAGGAGGCTGTGGTAAAGCTGGAGGAGTCCCTCAAAGAGGTACTGTTGGCACTGGAGGACTGTCGAGCCCTGTGTGAGGGGCCCTGGGAGGACAAGACAGAAGAGGAGATGCAACCTGGCCTTTATGAAGCTGTTGCAGGTAGAGATTGAGGCATACTGGTGTGCTGTGGTGCAGGGAGGGACAGGTTTCCAAGCCTGGACAGGCCCTGTATCCTGCATGGGCAGGAAGGGGAGCTGCTGTGCTGTTGGAAGTACTGGCCTTCACTCCCCTGTTTCCTTCAGCCCATTACATTCAGGTCCTGAAGTGCAGGCAGCAGTGTGTCCTCGATATTGCCACGAAGCCAGGACGGGTGTCTGCCACAGAAGATTTCATACCCTCCCACTTTGACTTACTGCAGTTTGCTTACAACCAAGGTGAGGAGACCCAGGACAGCAGTCAGTAATGTGATGTGTGAACTGGCAGGGGAGAGCTACCTGGCTCTGTTGTACCCACTAGGAAGGGAATGGCATGGGTGGGGGCAGCAAGCATAACTTAAACCATGAATGACTTGTGCCTCAAGGCTGGGGGGAGGCATGGCGACCACCTGCAGACAGCAGTGGTGTTGGCAGCAGGAGCATGGCATTGGCAAGGAACCGCCTGCAGGCAGCCGCGGTGATAACAGCAGTGAGGGTGGGGCAAATGGGGACCACCTGCAAACGGCTGTGATGACAATGGTGGCAACTGGGGGTGGGGTGGCGAGTGGTGACCACCTGCAGACACTGGCGGCAGCAGCCAGTCTCAGGGAGGACACGTGTGCCCCCCATCCCATGTTCCTCCCTACACATCACCTATGACTTAAGCTCTTGATCTTTCCTCATTAAGCCCTCTCCTCAGAATCCTCTTCATCACCCTGGACAGAACCACCAACCTCCCAGGTCCTCAGGCCTGCAACCTGGAGGCCATCTCTAAATTAGCCCTTACACCAGATCCATGCCTAAATCCTGCTGCTTTCTTACATGATGTCTCTAAAATCTGGCCTCTCCTTTCTGCGCACATAACCAAGCCTCTTGCCGTCTTCGTTGCCTGTTGTGATTATGGTGATTAAGTCCTCACTGCCATGTGTACTTTCCTGGTCCTGGCTCCCTGCCTCCCCTACTCCCATAACATCCATTCGGAATGGAGCTGCCAACAACTCCTTGATTTTGTGCTCTGGCCACATCACTCTAAGTCCCTCTACTGGTCTCCATGTATTTCCCCGTGACCTGCAAACTTGTTGTCTTTACTAGCAGAACCATGTGTAAGTTAATCCCACCTTGCCAAGCTGGGCTGGAGACTGATGATGATACTGGTCATGACTCTTGTTGTGCCAGCACTCTCAATCTTGTCTTCTCCCACACTGGCAAGATACCTTCATTGTTCCTTCCATGCTGCCCACTAGACATGGCAGAAACAGTCTGATAAATCCAAACAATCATTGCTTTCTCTTCTGTTAGACCTGCTTTTGCCAGGAGGCTTTTCCCTTTCCTTCCCTGTCTTACTCTCTTCCTCCCCACCTCTGTCCTTGCAGGAGAAATTCCTCTTACCTAGCTCATCTGGCCAATTGTTCACCAGGTTCGTTTATTGTAACCCCATCTCCCGCCCTTGTCTGGTTGTGTCTTTAGGTTATAAGCCCTGTAAGGCAAGAAGTGTGGCTTTCCATGTGGGTTCAGTGCCAAGCTCTGGAATATTGGGCACTGCTAAGATATAAATATTCAGTAATAATAATAGACTTATACTTAATGCACCTTGGTCATACCTACCTCCTTTTCTCTCTTGCCTCCAAGTTGGAAACCAGGCGCTGGCTGCTGAATGTGCTGCTTCCTATCTGCTCTTCTATCCTATGGATGAATCAATGCTGGAGACGATGAAATATTATCAGGCAGAGCTGGGAGAGGGCATATCAGTCACAGCCAGAGAGGTACCAGCAGTAGTCCCCAAATTCGGCTTTCTCTGAACCTCATCATGGCTGACCTGGGTCCAGCTTCCACTGGGAAGGGGTTGTATATATGTGCAGACACTGGATCAAATAAATAGCAGCAGAGTCACTTCTTGGCCTTTTGGCTCAGAACGTTTTCTAATAAAGGGGCCAAGGTCACCTTACATGGTACTATGTAGTTAAGAGTGGAGACTTGTCCAGTGCACTGCCAGCAGGCCCCCCTGCAGGAGTCTTCCATAGCCTCCCAATGGGAGGATCTCAACTACATGCTTGATTTTTATGGAGATGGGGGATTTCTGTCTAGCTTGCTCCTCTGGCCTTTTGGCTAGGGGCAAGCAAGACTGGGAGACAGCTGAACTCCAAGGCCTCTGGGCTTGGGGCCTGCACATAAGATGCCTGCCGTGGATTTGGGAGTATCTGAAGCCCCAGGCTGAAGAGTCTGGGGGGAGGATACTTGCCGATGGTAGTGCAACACAGACTTGAACAATTGAGTTCAGCTCACTTGATAGAATTTAGAACTGATTTGGCTAAATTGTCCTGAGACAAAATTTAAAAATAAAAATCCTTTGTCAGGCAGAAGTCTCCCCATGCCAGAGCATAAGCAGGCTCTCTTTGTGGTACTGTGGTATGGCAGATGTCTCCTGAGGGCAGGAGCAGATCCCCTTCATGGGGCAGTTGTTTAACAGCCTCTTTGTACCCCCAGAACATCTATCATTATGTTCAGCGGTCTCTGAAGGAGAAGAAGTTGATTTACTATGCAGTGGAACATCTGGGAGGAACATTTAATGACCCTGTAAGTAGTTGCATCCTTCTCCAGGCAGCTGAGTACTTCCTTGTCCAGGTCTCATCCAGGCCGTGTATGTCTCTCTGTGGAGCCTATGTCAGCAAGATATTCTCTTGGCTTTGTAAGAGATCTGCATGTGTGGCAAGAACTTCCCAGGTGAGAAGCGAGTCTTCAAGGCCCTCATTCTCACCTGAGCCCCAGCACTTGGGTGAGGAGCAGGAAGAAATTTCCCACCTGGGGCAGAGTGAAAGTCTTGCCTGAGGCATTAGGAGGTTTATATTCAGGTAGTCCACACTGGTCAGTGTCAGGACAGGCCAGCTGCTCTGGTGTACTCTAGCTTGGGGAATGCTGTGGCACTGAACTTGATCAGCCTGTTGGTCTGATCCAGTTTGAGAGGAGTGTCCCAAGATACTGAGCCTCTACATTTTGTTTCTTTAGGACCTGTGGACCCCAGATGAGCTGATCCCTGAAAGCCTGAAGCAGAAACGCAGGTAGTCAGTGAGTCAAATGGGAGGTGAGGTGCTGTGGTGTGGGGGGTGACAGTGCCTGAAAGGGAAAATGGTGAAATCAGAACAGAGAAAGGGCCTGGCTCTTGCTGCTGATGGAGGGTCTGACTGAGGGGATCACAGCTCTGGATACTGACAGTCTTTGTCTGCATCTCTCCCTTGCTCCTGAGAGAGGATCAAGAGAAGCACAGGCTGGAAAATCTGGATGTGGAACAGCCGGAGCAGAGAGGTGAGTCACAGAGGGATACAGGGACATTTCTCCAGAAAGGTTAAATGGTCCCTGAGCCTCTCCTATTCCAGCCTCAGTCATGTCAATGCCATACATTGCACCGGCCAGATGATCCACCTGTAGGTCTCTTACCAGTGCATAGGCACCTGAAAAACTCTCCCAGGCAAACTGCTTCTGGCATGGGGAAAGTGGAACAGGAGCCTTAAGGGTACTGCCACTGCGACAGCCCAGAAGAGTGCTCAGATGTTGCTGTAGGGCAGTTTTCCTCAACCCATGGGTCCTAACCCAAAAGTGGGTCCCAAGAATATGTAAAAGGGTCACGACCAACTTTAAAAATGGATCAGCAACCTAAATATGGATTATATTTTAAAGGAGAAAAACATGGGAAACTGGGTTTTTTCCTTGCAGGCTGTCAGAGTTCCAGCTTGCAAGGGGCTCCATGACCCCTACACACCCACCCTCTTCCCCACACACTGGGGGTTTGGAGGTGGGGTTGGGCAGCGGGTCGGGAGTGAAGGGCACTGGGTCCAGACTGGCCATCCATGATTATAAATGGTTCCTGGTACAAAAAATGTTGAGAACCACTGCTGTAGGGGACACCTGCGGAAGTTCAGACCATGGTTCAGAACAACCCACATGGATGCACTGAGCTTCATGTGATTAAACTGCTTCAGCAAAACCAGCCGAGGCACAAGTGCATCAGTTCTGTAGAAACGAGGAAGGGCTGTGAAGGGAAGGGAGGAATGGAGAAACAGAAATAGAAGGTACAAAGCTTGGAAAATACTTCCTATATGACAAATGAAGGACTACATTTGTGGTGGATGGTTGCTGTATGTTCCCTAGCATAAGGTCCTGTATTTTCATCCTGGGCTTTCCATATGGGAGTTGTTGCAGTACCAGTCATCTCCCACAGGCTTCTTCCTTGTCTTTAGGTCAAGCTTGGCTCCTGAGTGTGCTCTGCAGTAACATGGGAGAACAGCTCCTGACCATGGCCTGAGCACATCTGCAGTGCCTTCTATCCAGAGATTAATATGGGAGGGACAGAGTACTGATAACCAACACAAAGTTCGCCATGACAAGGCTGTCCGTGCTTAATGGGGGCAGAAAGACCAAACCTGTTGTGTCCATGAGTAGGTCATGGGGACAAGATGTGAGATTGAAAGGAAGACTGATCTAGGTGTTAGCCAGATTTTGTTCCCAGGGGTGCCGTCCACAGTGCTTGTTGAACTCTGCCACATACTGTCTGTCCCACCGCAGACCCACTGGAGTGGGAGGCTGTGATTCACCACTTGCCCCACCTCCTGCGGCTTCCTGCCTCATGTCTGCCAATGGGCTGGGCTCTGAATTCTGTGCTTGGTCAATGCCAACAGGCTGCCCCTACATCACATAGTGCCTTGAGGAGGATGTGGTTCACATGGGTCGGTGACTGTGTTTTGTACTTTAGAGGACAGATATTTTGTCCCTGCAGTCTGGGACAGGGCTGATGTTTGATGGAGCTCCCTGTCCTGAGTCTGCTTTTGCACTTTTTCTACCCTGCCTCACTACCAGGTCCCTTATTTTTTGAGGGCCTTACCATCACCCAAGATTCCCGCCAGCTGAACGGGTCACAGCGGGTCGTCTTCGACAGAGTCCTAACAGAGTCTGAATGTAAGGACATTCTCCGGCTGGCCAAGGTGAGACCTGAAGCTTTTAGGAGACCCTCTGGTACCAGAGGGTGGAGCTGGACCTGCCCAGCTCTGTTCTTCTTAGCAGGAGTGGCTGTGCCATCAGGAAAGAAGGAAAGAGCTGGGCCAGGTTTGAAATTGCTCTTCCACCTATTTCAGGCAGCTGGAGGCACAGGAGACAGTTACCGGGGCAGACGGTCCCCTCACACACCACACGAGAGATTTGAAGGATTAACAGTACTAAAAGCTCTGCAGGTAAATGGCTCTGTGTCTCTAAATATGTGAATGAGCCATCCACAGGGCACAAGCTTGCCTTGGCAAGTTTTGTGGAGGCATGCTGGCCAGTCATTTGCTTGCATGGAGATTTCCCAGAGGAGTGCTTTCCTTTATTTGAGGCATGCCCTTACTTTCACACGTAGGGGGTCCCCGGGTATGGTTCTTTCATTTACTTGTGTGAAGGGTCTTACAGGCACGTTCTCTTGCATGTATGGGCAAGCTTTCTTCTCTCTCCAGGGCTTTCTATTCTGATATGCAGGAGGACCCTTGCAGCCATGCACAGGGTATGGGAGGCTTGTTTTGCTGTTATGTGAGGGAGGGTTTCACAGACATGTTTCTGTCATGCACATATAGGAATTGGTTAGAATACTTTGATGAATAGGGAGTTCATTGTAGGAGGTTGTATTTTGCTGTTACAAACGCTGGGAGGGTTTGTCCCAAGTATTCGTGCCTTGTACATGGCAGTCCTTGTGGGATTTCACACAGGCAAGCACTTCTCTTGCACACATATGGACACTTTCTCTTGGACTTTGTCCTTAACCAGATGCTTATGAGTGCACAATTCAAAGCTCGCTGTTGTGCTTCTCACTGTTGCTCATACGCAGGAGTATGGGCCATGCTTTTCATGGGCCTGCTTCTCTCATCTGAGGGTCTCTTTCAGGGTGTTTCTCATATATCTGGAGCATCTCTCAAAGTGAGCTCCCCTCATGCACTGTGGGAATATTTAGGATCTTTTTAGAGGGTGCTTTCTCACATGGACATGGATGTATTTCTCTTGTTCATGGGTTATACTGCTCCTGCTGCTGCTTCTCTTCTGCTCCTTCCGCAGTATTTCTCAGGGAGTTGTTCCCTTAGTTGTTTCTCTCGAGCGTTATTCTCTCTGTAATGCGTATACAAGGACATTTCTCTCAGCCCTTCACCTGTATAGCATGGTACGGGCAACTCTGGCATGCGCAAGAGCTTCAGGAGCTTCTCTCAGGCATACTTCTTGCTTCCCCATGTGTAAACAGGGTTTCTTGTGGGCATGTTTCTCTGTTACGCATGTACATGGTTTTTCACAGAAGTGCTTCTGTTACATGTGAGGTGTTGCACAGGCTTCCTTTCTTCTTGTAGCTGGCACAGGATGAAGCTGTGAACTGGAGAGATGCCAAACTGCTTCTACAGGCCAGTGAGAAATCCCGGAAAATTGTACAGTCCTATTTTACACCTGGGAAAAAGCTCCACTTCTCCTTCACACACCTTGTATGCCGCACAGCTGTGGAGGGTAAAGAAGGCCTCATCAAGTCTTGACCCCTCCACCTGGAAATTCCCCTTCCCTCCTGCTCAGAAGCCCCTCTTTCCTTGACGTATTCCTTTAAAGCAGTAATTCTCAACCGGGGTGCCATGGCACCCTTGGGTGCCTTGAGATCCTTTCAGGGGTGCTGCAGGATGCCATGAAATTTTTGTACTGTTAGGTGTACAGATATGATTCACATGATAAACCCAGAGATTGCAAGTAGGAATCCATAGTGTTAAAAACACTCTGACCTGTTGTGGTCTTGCTGAGTTCTTTGCAACAGAAAAATGGCTGTGTTGCTTTTTGGAGTCAAAAAATGACTCAAAACTAACAGCTGGCATTTTCCAAGGGGTACCTTGAGGCTACTGAGGGGGTCCTTCAAGGTTATAAACCACTGCTCTAAGGAGTTTATATTCTCCTCCAATATTCCTCTCCAGGGGAACAAGATGATCGCATGGATCTTAGTCATCCAGTTCATGCTGATAACTGTCTCTTGGATCCTGAGGGAAAAGAATGCTGGAAAGAACCACCTGCCTATATGTACAGGGACTACAGGTAAGATGAGACTGGACCACAGGTTTGAGTGCATGGAGGAGGAAGATACTCAGCTTCATCATGGAATGATCCTGCTGTAGCAGAAGGCCCGATTGCCATGGTGTTTCATAGGAATATAAGGATTGCAGACATGCCCAGAGCCAAGGCCTATCTCATCTAGCATCCAGTCCCTCATAGAGGCCAGTATCAGCTTCTTCAGAGGAAAGAGTAAGAAACCTGCACCGGGCTGAGGGGTAGATAGATAATGCACCCTTTCATATGAGGCCTCATCCTGATCTCTAACTTCTACAGACTAGCTTAAATCCCTGAAGCTTGAGGTATAAAATCCCTCCAATATTTGGTATCATGACTGGCCATAACTCTGCCTATGCTAACTATTCATACAAATTTTCAGTCTCATGAATGTTGCTGGGTTCTTGGCTTCAGTGAGTTCTGCATTGTGATCCCAGCTGGTCTCCTTTTATCAAATTTGAATTTGCCACCTTTCAGTTTCACAAGACAAGGTGAACAGAAGTCTCTTGCTTACTTTCTCTAGCCCAGCCATTGTTTTACATATTTTATCATAATCCCCTCTTAATCCTCTTCTTTCTTAGATAATTTCAGGTTTTTTTATATGAGAGTTTCTTCTAGCCCCTCGAATGGGCCAAACTGCATCTCCTGGGCAGGTTCAATTCAGCTTCTAAAGTAGTGAATTAAACATTCTTTTTTTCTCTCTGTCTGTTCATTGATTATTTTACATTTTTTAATTTTCTTTAATTGTTGCTCATTAATGATTCTAAGAAGTAATTTAGCAGCAAATTATTATTTGAACTGGGTCACAGGTCATGGGCTGTGGGGCAGGCATACCTTAAAGCTATGACTCTTTGCTATGTCAGGCTTTTGGTTTATGGCTAGAAGGGTTAGGAAACTTGGTCATTCTTGATCATTCTTTTTGCCCTTTTCTTTCTGTGTGTTTTTTTGGAAATGGGATGAGAAGTACTGTGGTCAGGATGCAAAGGCAACTGCACCATTGATTTACATAAAGCCCCATAGCATGCACAGTATTATTCACCATCCAGCATGAATGATACTGACACTATTATGCCTCCTAAGATCATGTTTGCTTTTCAATGACAGCTGCATGTTGAACAGAAGTCTCCACTAAGTCTCTTGTTATAGAAACGTAAAACATGGGATTGTGTCAGTTAGTCCCATTTCTCTGTTGTCTCTGGCAGCAGCGTGATATAGTCCTCTTCTCCAGCTCCAACTTAAAACTGATTGGATCTTTTGATCCCACTATTCCCACCATGAATGGCTGATCCATTAACTCATTCCTGATGGTTGGACACTTTCTTCTGTTTTGCAGCCTAAATTTATTCATGGCCAGTCAATGTCCATTTGTTCTTGTGCAAATTTTTTTAAAATAAAATTTCAAAAGTTCTTTCCCCATCCTGCTATGTTTCGCCTCAGTATCTTTGCACGGTCTGCACTCCTCCCCCATAGATCATTACTAAAATATCTTAAATGCCGCAGGATCTCATACAGACCCTTGAAGACCTCAGACTTAACCTCTTACCATGATAAAAATTGACCATGTAATCCTATTTTTTGGTTTCTGTCTCTGAACCAGTTTGTGATCCATATCACTGCTTTGCCCTTCATCCCATAATAGCTTAACTTCTTTAGAAGGCTCTTGTCAGTGCCTTTTGAAGGCCTCAGTAAATAATTCTCAGACCAGGACTGGCAACCCTGAGATGGGTTGTGGCACTTATGAGTGGGGTTGCCAAGCCCACGGGAGTTTAGTTGTAGAACCCAGCTCTGCACCAGAAGTGGGGTGGCAACCCAGACAAAATTGGGATGATGAGAGATTGGGAACTGCTGCTTTAACAAATTTGGTTAGCTGGTTCTCTACTGCTTAGTGATATGTTTTGCCTTTTGAAAGGTTAGTGAGACCCAGTTTTTTCATTTGTAGATTCCATGCTGGTTAGACTTTATCCAGGGTTTGGCTATTTTACCTTTAGTGGTTGTTCCTACTAGCTGGTTAAGCTGAGATGTGAGGCTCCCTGGATTCTAATTGCATGGACTGTCCTAAGAGCAAGAGTATGAGGCTTGATCTGGAATGGGGCCCTCTCATTAGGTCAGGGGCTGTGAGGAGTGAATGATCTCCATTTTCCAGCTACTCTTTCATTTCGTCTAGTGGGATCCTGTACCTCAATGATGATTTCAAAGGCGGGGAACTGTTCTTCACTGAACTGGATGCTGTGACAGTCACGGTGAGTCTGAGGTCTGGTCCAAGCGGAGGAGAACAGGGCAAGGGATGTTAAGGGAACTTAATCTTTCAGGTGGGTGCTGGGGAAGGAGAGAGCTCGCTGGATGCCAGGCCTCTCTGCTCCCTCAGGATCATAGGTGGTGGAAAGGTGGGGGCTTACAGGGCTTAGCCCCCACAAATGCAGGGCAGCAGTAGGGCCACAAAGCAGCCTGGCCAAGGGCTTCCAGTGCAGCAGGGGTGGGCAAGGAGTGGGGCTGGGGCTGGGACTAGGGGAGGGGGTGTGGGACTGAGCTGCAAGTGGCTCATCCAGGGGACGTGGCTCCTGCTGCTGCCTGCACCCCAGGAGGCATGAGAGGCATATGCCCCGGATTTGTGCAGGGCAGGGCAGGCTGCCTCTGTGGGCTGGGGCTGAGGCTGTGCCAGGCTGTTCCCAGTGGGGGCTGCAGGGAGCCGGGCTGGGAAGAGTCCAGGCTGGGAAGGGCCCAGCACAGCCTCCGTCCTAGCCTGAAGCGGCACCCTGCCCTGCCCTGCGCAGATCCGAGGGCACATGCCACCTATGTGCCCCTGAGATGCATGCAGCAGTGGGAGTCAGCACCCCCTCTCCATGCCCCCTGGAGAGCAGTGACAACTTGGGGCAGGTGCAGGGGTTCCAGGGGCTTCGTCCCCTTCAGCCTGGCAGCGCAGCTGAGGCTGGCTCCACTCTGGCCCCTGGCTCCGGGCCCTCTGGGCAGTGCTGGGCCAGGGCCAGTGCAGGACTAGGGAATGGTGGATTTATTGGCGTGGGGGGTACTGGCACCAGGCAACAACCCTGGGTGCGGGGTACCCTGGGCCTGGCTCCACTCCCTCCTAATCCCACTCCCTTCCCCCACAGACTTTCCCGCTGGGGTGGGGTGCATGCATGCATGTGCTCAGCCCCCTCCCCCAATTTTTTTCTCCCTCCACCTATGCCCAGGATCCAGTGCTAATAACTAAGCAGATTCAAACTGGGGCAGCCAAAGGCAAATGCAGGCAAATCAGGCCAGGGGGAGAGGTCAATTTCTTCCTGGTGGATGTTCCATGCTCTGCCAGCCTGTGTGTGTGTGTGTGTGTCTTTCTTTTCTATCTTGGCAATCTTTCTTTCCTTTTCTCTCTCTGTCCCTTTCAGGCAGCCTCTGTTAAGGTCAGGGTCTCTGTCAAAACCCCTGAGGTCTCCTGAATGTTTTACAAGTCCACCTCAGCCCCCCAAGTGAAGGGGAAGGGAGAGAGTCGCTCACACAGCTGCAGGGAAGTGCGTGAGACCCCCTAGATTCATTACTTCCTCCCTCTCTCTGGCAGGCTCAGGTACGCCCCAAATGTGGGCGGTTGGTAGCATTCAGCTCCGGAGGGGAGAATCCTCATGGCGTGTGGGCAGTGACCCATGGGAGGCGCTGTGCCATTGCCCTCTGGTACACACTCTCCCAGGAACGTGCTGAGCAGGTAATGAGACCCCTTGGGCAGCTGGCAGGCCATAGAAAAAGATCCTTGGAGAATGCCACTAGGACAGGTTGGAGTGCCATTGAAGAGGAGGGTCCTCAGGGGCCCCACCTGGGTGGAGGCTATCCAATGCTTTATGGGAGAATTCCCATCAGAGCCCATTGAGCCTCACTGGGAAGGAATTCCCTCTGGAGAGGGCAGCATGAATTGGGTCCCTCCCCCAAGATGTGACAAGGGTCCCATAATTTGTGTGACCTAGTACAGGGATGTGTTATGGCTCCAGGGAGCAGAGCAGAGCAGAGGTTCCAGGTGGGAGGGAGTTGCACCATCCCCTCTGTCTCACACTGTGGTTGCAGGAGCGACTAGAGGCTGAAGCCCTGGTAAAGCAAAGGGACATGGAGCAGGAGAAGCAGCCAGAGGACAAGCAGCATCAAGGGCTTGACGACAGTGGTGGTACCTCACCGGAGCCTCCTGTTTCCAAAGGAAGAGCCAGATCCACAAGCCAGAGACACAAACTGGGTTCTGAGTCCCCACAACAACCCCAGGAACTGCGAGTCAGGGATGAATTCTGAGGGTGGTGTGGCTTGACACTAAAGAACAGGCACGCTGGCCTGTCAACTTCTTAGTGGCACAGAGTATGGAGGTGTTTGTGGTCATTTATTAGAATACTAGTTCCACAATTGTGGGGGAAGGATACAGCTTATTTCTCAGTGACATCACAACAGAAAAATTACATTCCGAGTAAAACAAAAAGGGCCATGGCACCTTGATCTTTATTCACTGTCTTGACTTGAGACTTATTTCATCACCCAGAAATAACAAGGCAGGCTCCTCTCACCCCCTTTTTCTCAATGAGCCTTCAATAGGACCAAACCAAAGTGGGGAAGGAGGGTTTCTTAGGATTTTGGGGGCAGGGGATTTTCTTGTTGTTTGGGGATTTGAAATGGGAACCACAGTAGCATTTAAAATTCCCTCAGGCCAGAGAATCCTTAGACTGAATCAAGAGAGGGCAGGTCATGGCTTATGAGTGTATAAAATAAAGGAAAAAATAATGAATACAAAATGTGATGGGGAGTTGTGGGTTTGTCCAGAGAGCAGTGGAGAGAATGATGGAGAAATTTAATTAACAAATGATAGAGGCAGGCTCAGCCCTAGAAGAGGGAAAACAAGGGCTCTGTAGACTTATGCCTTCCCTGACAACAAATAAACATGGTGGGGTGGAGGACAGATTGCCACACTCTGCTGGGACTGCCCTCTTGGGAGGTTGGGGACCACCTACTGTGACAAGGGGCAGTGGACATTCACTGCCCCAACACAAGTTCATCATCACTTCCACATGGGGAGGAGCAGGGCGACTATATTGTTTATCATTTTCCAGACTGGCATAAGGACAATCTGCTCTCACTACCCAGGGGATTAACATCCAGAGATTGGATTATATTGTAGGCAGAGAGAATGAGAGGGCTGGAGACAGAGTATCAAAAAGCGCAATGACGCTATTCCTGGGGGGATTAGAACCAGAGAGTAACCTATGTTGCATGAGATTCACAACCCAAAGGCAGAGCTCTGTGGGAGGACCCAAGACTAGCAGCAGGAAGGGCTTTGGGACACGTCTGAGAGCATCAGCTAGGCCATGTGGAGAGCTGTGAACAGGAACAGCTGCAGGACAGGAGTAAGGGGCACTGGCAAAACTATCTGTTGGGGGCTCAGAACAGACATTGGGGTGGGGGGCTGTCATGGTATGAATGACTCTGTTCCATACACAGTTGCTGGCTCCCTGACCCAACCCAACTGATGCTGCTGCATGCAGTTAATCTCATCCTAGTGTGCTTTGAAAGATAGGGAGTTGGGCTCATGCAGCCAAGCCTTTTGCCATGTTGGTAAGCTGCTCTCAGGCTTATCCATGGAAGCCAATTGCTCATTCTCCACTGCTCTTGACAACATTCCCTCTTTTTTTATGCCTCTCACTCTTAGGCTTGGCATTAGAGAAGAGTTGTAGTCCATATGGTTCAGGTTCCTTTTCTCCATCTGTTAGTGGTAACAAATCCCCTTCTTCTTAAATAACTTTTTCTTATTCAGAGAGGACTCCCACACTGGCAGCTGGACAGGACAGAGCCTTCACTTTGGCCGCCTGTTCCCCTGAGGTGGCCAGTTGCTGCCTTGCAGTCGTGGCTGGCTCTGCCCAAAGGTAGCCTGGGTGATTAGACTCATGGCTTCCTGACGTCAGATAAGAGCCATTAAAAGGTATTTATCTCTGGCTTGGGCTAAAGCTGCAGGGGAGATTAAAAGAGATTGAGGGCAAGATAATCCCCCCATAGCATCCCAGGAGAGCAGCTGCCAAAAGGCCTTTGAGCAAACCACCTTGTACCAGCCCTGTTCCCTCACCCTGCAGTGACAGGGGTTTCCTCCACCAGCTGCTGCTTACTGCTCTCTCAGGGATATGATCCCTTAGAAAGAAGGAATCCTTTCACAGGAGGCCAGGATGCCAATATGAGCATAGTCACAACTTCCCTTTCCTAACAGGTTAGGAACTGAGCCTTGTCCCCCTAAGGAGAGACCTCCGGGATGCAGTGCGTACAGGTGCCCCCTGTCCTGCCATCAGGAACTAGGACCCCAGCTCTTTCTCCCTAATCTTCCCTGTATTAGCTGATTGTTAATGCAAACAGAGTCCAATCCTTTCACAATGTTTTTTTTTCTCTCTCCAGAAACAGCATGTTCCTCTCCTGCCTCTTTCCATCCCCTCCCCATCCACCTGCTTTGCATTAAGTGCCAATCCGATTTTCCCCAAGTCACTGGTGTCTGATTTAATTTGCCTGACGTTGCTCCTGGAATCAGCCCTCCCTTCCCCTGTCCCCCCCCAACACACACACACACACACACAGAGCTTCCCATGGGGAGATCAGTCCTGAGAGAGACTGAGACGCTGAGAGAGAGTGAAGGGTACGGAGCGTGTGGACAGTTGGCACTAGGACGGGAAGGACTGAGGGGCAATCCCAGTGCAATCAGTGGCTCCCAGCTGAGGTGGGGGAGCCAATTCCCAGAGGTCCAAGGGAATCCGTCTCAGACAGAGATCACAACTGCCTCACCCTACAGACCACGGTAAGGCTGTTCCCTTGCTCCTGATCCTGATCCCACCTGCTCAGTCTGGATCTAGGGGTTGGTATCTCCCAGTATGTCGGGCTACATGACCTTCTGTGCAGGTTTGAGGGTCCTCTGCATGTTTGGGTCCTGCTCTGTACACGGGTGTGTGGGGCATGAGGAAGGGAAATTCTCAGTAGGATGGAGGTTGGGGTTAGGATCAACCACTCTACTGAAGAAGTGCTGGCAGACAGGATAGGGACCTTCCCTCAAAGAGGAATTTATACAAGTCTCCTGTGTATCAGGACTGTGTGACCTCCACACCCCCTCATAGGCAAATGGGACTGACGCCGTCAGTTTGACACTACACATCGATTCTGCTTGGTTCTTTGCAGCCAGTTTCTAGCCTGTATGGAGAAGGAGCCTACCAAGAGAGAGGAACATATCAGGGCAATTTTTTTCTGCCCTTTGATCTCTGTTGCAGAGCAGGGAGATCATCTCTCTATCCAGCTCTGCAGGAAGCCTAGGGTCACCAGGACACGCATGAACTGACGGCCTAGGGATTACGCTGGCAGGGACCCTGTGACCTCCCTTACTAATCCCCGCCCTTCCATGCCTATTGTTTATCTATTTACAGCTCCCCAACATCTGCTGAGAGGTAGCCCTCTCCCCAGTGTGGATGAGGTGATCCAGGGGAATTATAAACTGGAAGGCTGAACTCCTTTCCACATCATCACTTGGGCCACTATGTCCCATGAGTCCCAATCCTCATTCAAGCAGGATGAGGTGGTTTGGATGACTCAATAGGAGGCCTCCTGCCCTGGGTGTCAGCACTGGCCCTGGTATCCCAGCAAGGTGGTAGAGGTCTGTGTGGCAAGCATGTGAGCACTCCCCTCAGAGCTATCCCCATTTATCTGTGTGCTGTTTCACGTTCTTGGTACAGCAAAATCTCCTCGCTTCAGTTAGGTTCATGACCTGTCTCTGCTAAGTGCTGAACCAACACCCTCAGGCTACATGCAGATGTATTATTTGTCCAGGAGAAGCCATTTTCTCCTGGAACAAAGTGCCATTGTTCAGATGCCCACATCTGTTGTCCCAGGACAAACCCAAAAAAGCTTCATGGCATATGAAGTGCTAGCAGTTTGTCCTGGGATGTTGTAAAGTACATCTGAATGATTGTCCCTAGATTGCATCCGTGAATTAATGGCAGAAATACAGCAGTGCATTCAGCTGCTCTGCAAACCCTGATTAGGGTGATGTGTGTATGCGCCAATCCCAGGACTTTTCTGTTCTGGGACAAACAGGCACAACTGGTCCTGGGACAAATGTAACATCTGTTTCTAGCTTCAAAGACAATCCCTGCCCTGAAGAGCCACCAGGCTACAAATACAAGTGAAGAATGAGGGGGCCAGAGAGTGAGACAGTTAAGCAGACATGTTTTTTATACAAAGTTACATGTCCTCAGTTAACAGCAAAAATACAAATGGCCAGTGAGAGTCTACTTGTCACTAAGCTGTCATAATTGGGCTGGTTACCTGTAGGCATTATGGCCATCGGAGGTGGCTGTAGGATATTTTTTCCTGGAGGTCATTCTGTGTAGGAGGCTCAGCACAGGAAAGTTTGTAGAATCACTGAAGCAATGGGGTTGGGAGGAGAAACACTGCTAAAGACAGGAGCAGTAGGACCAGAAGGAGCAGCTGTCTGAGAGCTCAGAAAGAGGAGACAAGACACTGGAACCTGATACGGTGAAACAGGGGAAGGCAGTGGAGGCATTTGAAAGAGGGGGCATCTGAACAAGAGGCTAACTCTGATACCCTACCAGCTTGATCAGGAAGCCTGTGCTGCTGTGGGACCTGGGTGATTTCATGAAGACTAGAGGCCCTTCAATGGCAGTACTGATCCATGCCTTCACAGAGAGTGGGGGGGAGGGGGGGTGCAGTGCTATTGCAAATGGCAGTTTGCATTTCAGCCATTAAGCAAAGTCAAGCCTTATTCTCAAATGCAATCGATGATTTGAGATACTTCAATTTTTGGGTGGCCACTATGAGATGACTGAAAGGGGGTCTACCGTTAAGAAAATGTTGAGCGTCCACTGTGTACTCTGTGGTACATCAGGCCCTTTAAGATGTATAAAGCAGAGCACCCAAAAAAGAAATGCACCAAATTGCTAATCACTTCTGAAAAATGGGGTCAGTCAGGGTTGCATTGCTTCTTCAGCATTTTCAACAAAGGCAAGGCCTTACCTCTGACATCTGCACTAGACTCTAATGTGAGAGAAATCCATTCTGCTGCTCTCAATTTTCTGTGCTGATTCAGTTTGGGGACTGGATGCTCCTCCATTTCCTGCCCTAGGTTTTCACACAGCATCAGAAAGGCAATGCCAGCCAGTGCTACTAAAACTGGCATGCGTCATCCCTGCTAGCCCAACAGACCACTAAGCTTGGGAGAACCAATGACCATGTTCTTGATTGCTCTTAAACACCTGGGGAAGAATTATGCTTCCCCTTATGCACCACCTGAAGTGCAGCTTGCAACCAAATCTGAGTTTCCTGACTAATGTGTAGAAGTGATTCTCTCCCTGCTCCAGGCATGTATGTACCACCATTATAGGAAAAGATGTACATCTCCAGAGATGTAAGGCTGTTGTCTTAGTCCTATAATGGAAGCAGTTATGTGTCTGGAGAGTGTAACAGAATTGCTCCTGCACTTCAGTCAGGAAACTCAGAATTGGCTACAAGCTGCACTTTGGCCTTCAGTGGGGTGAAATAGAATTCTGCCCCTGCTGTGTTCCTCCCTACAGGCAGCTGCTTTTCAGTGCCAGGTGGGTGACTCACTCTCAGTAAAGCACTTTGGGATGATACAGGATGGAGACTGTAGAGGAAGGTAGAGTTGTTGCCTTCAGCTGTGGCTTCTTGTCTTTCTAAACTACTCTGAGACTTTATTTGGAGTGTTCCCTCAAAAGGATTTAAAGATTCTGATGGGGACCTGAGCCCGAGAAACAGCTTCTTCCTCTATATTTAGCTCTATCCATTTCTCCTTGACAGTAAGTCTCTGCCCATTTGATCCTCCTGCCAGGCCAGAAACCCTCTCAAAAGGCTATGTAACTTCCCACATACCTGCTTCCTATATTATAGATAGATAGATAGATAGATAGATAGATAGATAGATAAAACAGAGAGACAGAAGGATGAATGATGTGTAAGGTGAGATTAGAGATGGGCTGGATGGTTGTGCAGAAGAGAACCCCATGAGGTTGCCCTCAATGGATTAGGAGTTGCAAAGGAAAAGGAAGAAGCTCTCGGTCTCACACTAAGAGAATGGTAGAGACAAAATTCCATTTAGTCAGTGCCCATGGAGGAGACTCAGATGAACACGGACTGGGGAGCTAGAGATTAAGGACTGTGGAGGAAGCTTCAGTTGTTCTGACTAAGCTCTGAAAAAACCTTAAGGTCAGGATCTCATCAGGAGCCTGCTTCTGAACCCACAAGGATTCCACAGAAGAGACTAGAGGAAATGAGGCAGTGAGAGAGGTTCCAGCAAAGTGGTGGATCCAGAATTCAGGGCTGCTCATAGAAGAGAGAGGCAATCTGAACCACAGAGAAGGAAGGAGAGTTGTGCCAGGATGGGGAGCAGAATCCATGCAACATGAAAAGGAAATGATTCCTGCTAGGTGCAAGGGTAAGAAGCTGATGAGAGCTGGGCAGTCTCCATGACTTTGCTGAGGCTGGGGACTGTGAGAACTGGATGAGGGGAAGATGCTAAAAATGTTATAGGCTACAGTTGGCCACTTGCTGAAGGGGGCTGGCCCTCAGAATGGACTCAGTTCAGGATCACCAATATTTAGTTAAGGTATAATTTTCCTAATAACTGGGACTTGGAGGGTCACATCCAATCATGTCCTGCCCCTTCCACCATGCCCCTCTCCTTCCCCCACCACAGAAGATGCTTCGGGGTCAATTCTGGTGCACTTTAGTGCACAAGGAGAATTACTTACAAAGCATCTGCTGAGTGTCACAATCCATCCAGGCAGGGGGCAGTGGGAAGATCAGTCACTTGGCTTGTGCACAACAACATGCTTTCTCTCCTGCAGCTGAGTAGCCCCTGTTTGTGGCCCTGACCATTGCACTATAGTAGCCAGTAGTGAGGGACTTTGGGTCACCCACCTGGCCTCTGAACCAGCCCAAGTGACAAGGCCCTTCACAGACACAATCATGAGTGCCCCTGGAAATTAGGTCATTTTATCTTGGCCTTCCTGGACCCTACAGCCTGCCCTGAGGACTGTTTAGGAAAAGCCAAAACCAACAACCTTCCCCCACCTGCAACACTGAGTGTGTCTACACATAAATTTACTGTGCAGTAAGCAGCTTTTAAGCCAGTATCTACACATGCAGGTGTTACAGCGTGATAGCATGCAGGTAGCAAATTTACACTGAAATCAGCATAAGTTGCCATAGTTACTATGCCATATGGGTGCACATGTGTAGATGCGTGCCTGAACAGTGTAGTAATTTTAAGTTACTGTGCAGTAACCTAAATTACTGCACAGTAAGTGTTCACGTGTAGATGCGCCCACTGTATCTTATTATTAAGGCTCTTCACAAGAAAAAAGGACAAGAAACCCACTTTTTAATGAAAGATGAGATCTGTCTCCTGTATTTTGGACTCTCAGAAGGACAGTTTCAGGAATTTGAAAAGGTGACTATCCCTGGGGGAGCTCAGGGAAGGCCACTCAAACGTTCAGGGTACCAGAGGGGTTGGGCTTTGGGTAGAGGTTCACGAGCTAAACCAGAGCAGCTGCACAAAGGAAGGGACATGGGAGCTGTTCATGTGTCCAAGAAGTGGCCTAGGAGGTCCACGGGAAATGGGCTGGGACTGAACCCAAGGAAAGGAGCTGAGGCACCATCAGCCTGTGTGGTGGGGACTGGAGGCCCATCCCTCAAGGCACCAGGACAAAACTAGTCACTGAAAGAAACCATTCCCTCAAGCAGTGCGAAGGTAACACCTTCCCAGATGATCAGAATGGGGCAGTGTAGGTCCTTCAATGCTGGAAGCAGAAGTCCTTCCAGTGCCCCTTTCCTGATTCAGGTGAATGGATCTGTCACTAATGCCATGCTACTGCACCTGGGGAAATCTCCAAACCTGAGAGAGATCTCTGCCAGCAAAGATGAAATGCAAAACACACAGTGCCTGTCCTGGAATCTGACACCTGCCTCAGGAAAATACTGAGCCAACAAAGGGCAGGTGTGCACAGATGAGGCAGGATGGGATGTACGGAGTGAGTAAGGCACTAGAATCATGGAAGGGGGAGGGGAGGCAAAAGTTTCAAGTAAACTGCAGGGATTGTTAGATCAGAGGTGTCAAAGATACAGCTTGTGGGCTATCACCCAGCTCTCAACGCTGGCTCTGGGTCTTGGAGTTAACCCACAGGCAACATTCAGCATGCATGCGATGCCCACTCTGGCCACTCCAGGATACACGTCTGCCCATGTCAGATCCAGTGCATGTCCCTGAGCAGTCAGCACAGTGCTGGAGTGGCCAGAGTGGGCAGTGTGGTTCTGGAGCGGGCAGTACCATGACGTGTGCAACACTCAGTCCAGCTGTTCCAGGGCACATGCTGGATCCAGCATGGAGTGGACCTGCACTGTGTCATGTGGCACAGTGTCAGACTGGCTGGAGCATGCATTACATGTAGCACAATCCTGGACTGGCTGCTTTGGGACATGCCCAACGTGTGGCAGCCCCTCCAGAACACATGCTGGATTCAGCATACAGGGCCAGTCTGTGGGCCTGATCCAGCCCATGGACTAGCCACACACCACTGTGGGCCAGATGAGCTTGATACTCCTGGGTTAAATGAATCAGTAGAGGGCACTCTTCCTTGCAAGTCAATACAGATCCCAGAGCCTCACTGTACTTTTAGGGCAGTGGTTCCCATCCTTTGCAGATTTAAGGCACCTCTCATTAGACTCAGTGTACCCCTTGGAGACTGCCAAGTCCTCGCTTTCCCTCATTTTTTGACTATGGAAAAATAACTGAGCAATTCTTTCATTGCAAAGAGAAAGACCACAACAGGTTAAGGTGTTTTTTGAAAACTCTGGGTTTAATCTTGTGAATCATGTTTGCCACCTAACTGTGTGGCACCTTGTAGCACCCTTGGAAAGATCTCAAGGCACCCCAGCATGCCACAGCACCCTTGTTGAGAATCACTGCTCTGTGATGCTCTCAGAGGAGGTACAACACTGGGATTCTGAGGACTGGGAGAGTGGGCTGAAGAGGTCCTCTCCCACCCTCCCCATAAGTTGGGAGGTTCACCCCATTCTCTTGGCCAAATCTCCTGAATCTATTCCTGTTTTTTAGCTTCCCAAGTAATTTCACTTGTGCACAACATTCTTTGTTTCATCCCCAGCAAAATCTGCTATCAAATAGTTGCTAGGTTCACCCCCTCACTCACCCCAAGATGCCTAGTAGGTGTGCAAAGTATTCAGTGTGTACAAGCAGTATTTAAACCCTTTGGGATCCTGAGCAATGGGAGTTGCTAGAACCCAGAAGCCCTTCTAATGGGTGGCTTCTGGTACTTCTGCCTCTTCTCCCTATTCTGGTCTGTTTAGGCCTTGGACTTCTCTGAGTGGAGGACCCATCACTAGACAATCAAGATGTGTGAAATGGAGCAGATGAAGCAGGAAGCTGAGCAACTGAAGAAACAGATTGCGGTAACCCTGGAAATGAACGGGAACCAGCCAAAGGGCCCATCAACCCAGGGAAAATGCAGCTTAAAGGAGATCCCCTCCCCCTCCCCCAGCAAGGAATTTCCAAAGGAGCCCCCCTCCTCCAGCTGTACTGGAGCTGCTTTCTCCAGCCTTCATCCCCAGAGCCCCTGGGAAGGCAACTGCTAAACCCTACTGAATAAGTGAGGAATCCTCACAACAGGGGGAAGGGATGAGCAGGAGAGCTGGGGATAAGTCTGGGCAGCTAGGAAAGGGCTGTCCCCTGGGCCTGGTATACTCAGAGAATTAAAAAACTCTGTCCCAATGCCAGGAGTTCGTCTCTCTTGTAGTCTGGAGGCAGTGGATGTGCAGCCACAGTGGAGGGTCTGTGCCTGGGTGAAGAAGTAGAAGGGCATTTATAATGGGCTGAAGGAGAGTTGCTTGGTCCCTAGCTTGCCCGCATTATTACCTATATTGCTGTAGTGCCTAGGAGCCCTAGGCATGCACCTGGGCTCCAAGGTGCTGTGTGTTGTGCAAACCCTAGACAAATAGATGAGCTTCATGCCCCAAAGAGCTTCCAACTGAAGTGACTCTGAAGAGGTTCTCAAAGCCTGAGCCTGGGTCTCTCTCATCCTCTCCCAACTGTCTTTTAAGGCTTGTTCTGGCTCTTGTCTTTCCCTCTGACTCCTCATCCAGCTGATTGTCTCTTCCTGTTTGCAGGATGCACGGAAAGCATGTGCTGACACATCACTTGCTCAGGTAGGGGACAGTGTTAATGAACCTAGGCCGGGTGTGTATGTGACAATCAGCAATAACCTCTCCAGGGAGACTCCCCAGAATGGACTGGAAAGGGATGGTGGCATGGGGAGATATGGGGAAGGGAAAAGACCCTTCACTCTTGGCCCAGTTTAATCTTCTCTTTCCTTGGGGGGAATCCCCAACCCTGTCCCCTATCCCCCCACCAGATTGCATCCGGGGTGGAGCTGGTTGGACGCATACAGATGCGTACACGAAGAACACTTCGTGGACACCTGGCCAAGATCTATGCTATGCACTGGTCCACAGACTCCAAGTGAGTGGAATGATAGCTGCATGGTTGGTGGCCCAAGGAAGGTGGGGTGATACATGACAAGGAAGGGAGCTCTGATGGAAGGGATGATGCCATCAGGCTCACTGAGAGAGGGGACGCTAGTGCATTCTGGTTCCTTTGTCGTAGACTCCTGGTGAGTGCCTCACAAGATGGGAAATTGATTGTGTGGGACACGTACACAACCAACAAGGTAAGAATTGGATGGACACACCCACAGGCAGAGGAGCCTGTGGCTGGAAGGGTTCACACCATAGTCAGTGCTCTTGTCTGGGTCCTTTCCATTCTTTCTGGTAAGAGAGTCTGGGACTGTTTCATTTCTGCATAGGTTCATGCCATCCCTCTCCGCTCATCTTGGGTCATGACTTGTGCCTATGCCCCTTCAGGGAATTTTGTGGCCTGTGGGGGCCTTGACAACATGTGCTCTATCTACAACCTCAAGACCCGTGAAGGCAACGTCAAAGTGAGCAGGGAGCTCTCTGCCCACACAGGTGAGTGCCCTCCACACCCCTGCCAGCCAGGCTTTTCCTGCTCCCTGAACCTCACTTTCATTTCATACAACAAATCTCATGCCTTGTTTTTCCTGCTCTCCAGGGTACCTCTCCTGCTGCCGATTCCTGGATGACAATAATATTGTAACAAGTTCTGGAGACACCACATGGTGAGTGATACCTTTCCCTGAGCCACACAGCACAACCAGACTTCTGGGTTGCAATCTCCTGTTGAGAATCTCACAATATTGAATGTTTGTTCTTAATCATGTGAGACTGTTAACCTTTGTAATGCAGTTTTCTAGCATTTGTACTTGTCAAGGAAAATTGAAAATGTGATCCTAGGACATCCAGCAGGCAAAGAACATGAATCCAAAGAGTATATTTTTAACAATATCGATGATTCTTAGTGCTTAACTGTCACTACTAAAGATCAATTCACAGTGCAAAAGGTTTTCCAGAGAAGACATTTTGCCAGAGCCCCCTAGTGGAGATGCAGCTTATTCCAGAGAGTTTTTTTGCTGAGCAGTAAACCACATCCCTGAATGAGCCAGATGAGTAGCATGGGACCAGTTCACAGGCTGGATAAAGGCTGCTCAGGGCCAGCCAGCATCAGGGCTGAATGATGTGGCTTTATGGGCCAAAGTCAGCTGGTGGACTGTATCTTTGATACCCCCGATTTAGAGAATTTGTTTGCTGGCACAAGCAATCAAGACTTGTAGTAGAGGTGAGGTCTTTCATTAGACCAACTAGATATTTGCAAAAAACAAAAAATCTTTAAGTGCAAGCTTTCAGGCACAAACAACCTTCATCAGGCATCGGAAAAAGATTGTAAAAGTTCTTCTGGGTAGAAATGAAAGTTCATATTTCATAGGATTTCACAGAGTCAGTAGATAGAATACTCCTCTGGGCAGGCATTTCTTAGCTGGTAAGGTGTCTTTGAGCTCTGTTGGGAGGCTCTGTGATGATGTAAATTACCTTGAACAAAGGTAGGAGCAGCATCTCAGGATTCAGGTGGTCAAAGTTGCTTCCTCGTGAAATTATGAAGATTTCATTAAAAAAAAATCTGCTGAAATTTGACATTTTCCATGTGGCAGGTATCCATATTGTAGCTGTATTGGTCTAGAGGAAAAAGCAATCAGGATTTGTAGTAGAGGTGATATCTTTTATTAAACCAACTAGATTTTGGCAGGAGTGCTGAAAAAACCACAATGTCTACCTTGGAAGGTGCCAAGAGTGCCGGCATGCCAGAAAAACAAAATGAGGTTGGGGGGGAAGTGGGGGGTGTACATGGCAGGTCGCACTGGACATTAGTATATTTAATATATAAATATATTACATAAATTATGCCTTTGTTGTTGTGTATTCCTTTTTTGTTGAGCATGTTGCAATGAGAGAGAGAAAAAAGAGACAGAAAAGAGAAAGAGGAGAGAGAGAGAGAACCAGACACACACATGTGCACACAGAGAACCATGTGTACAAACAGAGAGAACCAGAACACACCCAGAACAGACAAATGCACACACACATCCAGAACCAGACATACGTGTGCACACACAGACACACAGAACCAGACAGAGGCAGACAAACACACAGAACCAGAAGCGCAGGTGCATGGAGCCGGGCTCCTGGGCCACTGGACAAAGTCCAACCCAACAATTCCCTGGTCTCGCCAGAGCCCCTGTGCTTCCCCAGGGAGCCAGGCCCAGGCTGCAGCACAGCTGGCCAAGGCCCCGGCTCAGAGCCTGCCCATCAGCCCAACCACCCACCCATCCTGCTCAACTAAACCCACAAAAGGTGTGGTACTCCTGGCAAGAGGCAGCGCCAGCCTCATCCTGGTGGGGGGCTGGGCTGGGGCTGGGCTGGGAGTGGGTGGGAGTCAGGTGGGCTCAGCTGCAAGCCCTGCTGCAAGCAGCCTGGGTTTGTGGTTGGCAGCAGCTACCAGAGCCTGGGCTGGCTGCAGCCAGGAGGCTGCAAACAGCTGCTCCAGGCTCTGCCATCAGCTCCATACTGGTGGGTGCATATGCGCCTCAGAGTTGATGGTGGGGATAGGGCCTGTGGTAGCATAGCCCTCCTGCTGTCTGCGCTGAGGTGCACATTCAGTTGCTGCCAGCATGGAGCTGATGCCGGGGCTGTGGAGCCCAGTGCAGCTGTTTGCAGCCTGCTCGCTGCCTATTGCAGCTGCCCAGAGCCGAGGGTGGCTACAAACAGCTACGCCGTGCTCCAGAGCCCAGTCATCAGCTCTGTGCCGGCAGTGGGGGAGAAGCTGGGGTTGCACTGCCTCAAGCCGCTCCCCTACTGTCTACTCTGAGGTGCGTGTGCACCCGCCAGTACGGAGCTAATGCTGGAGCCCGGAGTGGATGTTTGCAGCCTTCTGACCGCAACTGGCCCAGGCTCTGGGTTGCTGCTGCCAACCATGGAGCCTGCTCTGCTTGCAGCAGATCTTGCAACTGCCCAGCTGCCTGCTGGGAGCTGCCCAGGCTCCATGGCTGGCAGCAGCTGCCTAGAAGCCAGGCTGGCAGTAGTGTGCCAAGCAAAATGGCTTTGTGTCCCATGCTCAGCACACATGCCAGGGGTTGCTGACCCCTGGCCTAGACTGTGGAGGGCTTTGCCTTCCTCTGTATAGGTTGTTCTTGGTATTTCTGGTATGATGCTTTGTAGTTGTGAGGGCTTGGAGTGGTGATTTGGAGAAACCTTGAGGAATTGATTTCCTGCAGGCATAGGGGACTGGACACAGTGGCCCAGGCGACCCCTTCCAGCCCTGTGTTCTTATGGTATTTTTCATATGCCTAAGTCCAGAAGCTAGGCCAGCAAACCTCTGTCATTTAGGCCCAGCTTGAGAGAGAGTGGCAGCAGGTGGCAGCAAGACAGAAGTCATATTCTTCACTCCTTCCTGGGCTGTATCTTTCCAGTTTGGGATAGGTTGACACTAGCAAACTCTCCTTGTATTGAGGCACATGATATCAAACAGAGCGTTTTTTCCAGTGTCATGCACACCAGTTCACTGAGCAAAATATGTCACAGGTTCAGGGCAAAGCTCATCCTTGTTTCTCCTTCATAGTTTCTTTCAGGGCAGCATACTCAAGATCTTAGGCCTTTATCCACCAACTTTGTGAAGGGAGGACCTACAACTCTTTCTCTTAATACTGAGGCTTTAGAACTGCACCTACTCTTGTGATTATCCCCAGCCAGGTTTTGCTGTCTCTCAGGGATAATACCAGATAAACTCAGTGACCAGTCAGCTTTCCCAAAGCACAGTAGCATTTATTGCAAGACACACACATAAGAGAAAATAATGCAACAGGGACATGCCACTTCTCAGATGTTGCCTGTCATTGACATGGGGCCTTGGGGGGCCAGTGCTTGAGTTAGGTCTGGTATTGCAGCTGTGTCTCTTGACTCCAGACCAAGGCTTTACACCCTTTACAGTCTTTGTTTGTCTGGCCACTTGGACCAGAGGAAACCAGGATATGAAGTGTCCCCCAAGGTTCAGGACTTCTCAACTTATAGACCTGCCTCATCCTTTGCATTAACCACCGGGAAGCCAGAAAGCATTATCTAGCTTGCTAATACAACATTGATAAAGCAGTCTTTTTTTCAATATTCCATATTCAATTGAATCTTAATATAATAGCCTTGGAAGTTTCCAAGTGTCTGGGCATTTATAGCTGTCTGTTGATACCAGTTGCAGTACTTCTTTGCCAGTATAAGTATATCTAAACTAGAGCTTCCATCATTATAGAGGCATCGGCAAAATCACACCCCTGACTGACACTGCTATATCAGCCAAAGTTTCTAGTGTTGGTCTTGCCTGAATTAGCTCAACATCCCCTTGGCCACAGACTACAAGACCTACTACCACAACTGTATGGGTGCTAAGGGGTTTTCCAGCTGCTACCTCAGCTCAAATAGTAAAAGTGTCCTTTTACCATCATGGTTTCTCTCCTTTAAAATAGGGTAATTCATAAACATCCTCAGAGGGGTTTAGCTCCAACTATCCCATGATCCTAATACTTCCCTGAGGACTCTCTTCTTGTCCCCCTACAGTGCACTCTGGGATATTGAAACAGGACAGCAGAAGACAGTGTTCTTGGGTCACACTGGAGACTGTATGAGCTTGGCTGTCTCCCCAGATTTCAATCTGTTTATCTCTGGAGCCTGTGATGCCACTGCTAAGCTGTGGGACGTGCGGGAGGGAACCTGTCGTCAAACGTTTTCAGGGCATGAGTCTGACATCAATGCCATTTGTGTATGTATCTGGTCTGTTGAGTGGAATCAATAGAAACATTGGTGCATGGCCCAGGACTGAAATGTTTAGGGGCAGATGAGACTGCAGGGCAAGATTAAAGGGTATTATCGTTGTTACATATGGAAGACCACAACTAAGAGACAGGATGAGCCACATTTTATGGTGCTAGCATGACACACAGAAGATGTGAGTTCAAGTCCTTGCTGCACTGTGGGAGGTTGGGCAAGTCACTTCACGTCTGAGGTCCAGATCCTGAAAGATCTGTTTGGACATTTAGACACAAAGTCCACTTTCAGACCTCGCTAGCATTCTCAAAACTGCTGTTTGATACCTAAGTTTCTGCTTCTCTTAAAAGCCCCCTTAGTGCTGAGACTGTGAATGAGCCGTTCCAAGCCCTAACTCATGCCAAACAGCAACATTCTCAGCTAATGGGTACAGGGGACAACAACGCCTGTCTTGTCAGTGGGTCCCGCCCTGCTAGACTTGCTCAGACCACACCGATGTCAGAGGCAGCCTGCACAAACAGATTCAGCCCATGGGCCATATCTTTAACAGCCCTCATTTACATGGAGCCCACAGTTGAAATGACAGGGGACTTGCTTGTCAAGAACAAGGAGTGTTGTCAAAAACTGCAGCGGACCCAAGCTGGGTACTCTGGAACAAGATAATTTCCCCTGGTTGAATGGTGTTGTCTCTCCCTCTCAGTTCTTCCCCAATGGCGAGGCAATCTGCACTGGCTCAGATGATGCCACCTGCCGCCTCTTTGACCTCCGGGCAGATCAGGAGCTTACTGTCTATTCTCACGAGAGCATCATCTGTGGAATCACATCAATCGCCTTATCCCGCAGTGGACGTCTCCTGATGGCTGGATATGATGATTTTAACTGCAACATCTGGGACTCCCTGAAGGGGGAGCGTGTGGGTGAGTCAGTTCAGGAAATACCTACTAATATCAGTGATTCTCAACTGGGGTCCCAAGAGATCCTTTTAAAGGTGCCATGAAATTCTTTTAAGGGTGCCATGGGGTGCCATGCAAGATCAGCACTGTTGGGTATGCAAATACCTATGCATGATTCACAAAATAAACCTAGAGATTTCAAATAGTAGGAGTCCACAGTGTCAAAAATATTCGGACTTGTTTGGGGCTTTTTTTTTTTTTTTTGCAACAGAAGAATTACTTTAGTATTTTTTCATAGGCAAAAAAAGTTAAATGAGTCTTTGAAATGAGGTGCTGCTAAATTCAGCAAAGTTAGGGAATGTGTCTTGAATCTGAAAAGGCTAAGAACCACACTGGTAATCAAACACTTCTGGAATGTGTGTGCCTTCAACCCTCAGTAAAACATCCACACTCCTAGGCTGGGCGGGTTACTATTTATCTGATGCTTGGGGTTTGCCTAGTTTTGGATCTGGGACATGGGCTGGGTCTGGATCCAGGTCCCTAGTAGGAGCCAACCTAGTACATACAAGGGGTGCAGGCACTTTTAGGTCAAGAGCCTGCAGTACAGCACTACTCCCCTGAGCCTTCCCCCTTGGTAAAGTCTGTTCTCTTTCCATCAGGAATCCTCTCTGGCCACGACAACAGGGTGAGTTGTCTCGGAGTGACAGCAGATGGCATGGCCGTGGCTACCGGCTCCTGGGATAGTTTCCTCAAGATTTGGAACTGAAGAGGATTATGGGGAGGGGAGAAATACTGAGAGCAGGGTACAAGCACTGAGCCTACATGAAAGGCATTACCAACAGAGCACAATTGGTACTTGTATGTTATACAGAGCCATTTCTCTGTGTCATATTATATTTATATGACAGTCACTTTCAGGGGCTTCCTGGCCTAGAGGAGAGGTCCAGGGATAGGAGCTCTCCACTGGCTGTTCTCCCCTACCCATATTCTAAAGAAGTCATAGCAGCTTTCAGCCTTTACCAGGTTCTAGGACCCTGCGTAAGTGTGGCCGTTGCACAGATTTTAGGTACTTACAATACATACCCAAAGGCACCTTCCACCCCCTTTCATTCCTGTATCAACTCAGGGGCATCCATCCCTCTAAACAACCCACCTTTAGAAAACCACCTCCCTCCATATGCATAAATCCATTCCATCTGAGCCCAGTCCCTTATAGGAGTGCAAGCCCCCCCACCAAACAAACCAACCAACACCTCCTTCGTACTGATTGCTCTTAAACCTTCCCCCACCACCCAGGCACACTGGTTTGGGGATTATAACCTCCTTTCCTAAGCAAGGAGTTGAAATCCCAACTAGTTTGTGGTAGAGGAAGAAGCCCACAATTTGCTCAAGTTTCATTAGTGTACTAAATGGGGTTCTGAACGTCTCTTCCCCAATATGGAGCATCAGGAACAGCAAATGTTTAATTTATTATCATCATCTGTTCATAGCTGCTCTCTCCCCTTTGTCACTAACCCCCATATGCTGTGAATTTCCCCTGCATTAGCCTGTAGCCTCACTTAGTCATTGCTTTAGAGATATAATTATCATAGTCCAGGCACAATAAAGAGATCAAATGAAATATGGACTGCATCATTTCAAGCAGGTTCACTGCACTGAGATGTTGCAAACACTACACAGAATTTTCCAAGAACTACAGTGCAAGTACTGTACTCTACTCTGGCTCCTGCAGAGGCAGAGATAGCCCCTGCAGGATAAGCTCTACAGGAAGAATAATGAATAGTCTCTCCCTGCTTCCATATGAAACACTGGGCCTCTCCTTCTGGAGCACATGAAGAGGAAAGGCTCAGAAGATAGTAACTTCCTAAGTCTTCCTTAGCAGGTTCAAGCAGCTCTGTATTTGTGCTCACTATTGCCTTAAGCTACAGCCCCTTCCTGGTTTGTAGCTAGAGGCCCTAATATTTTAGGGACAATATGCGGAGAAGTCCCAGGTAGCAAAGGGCAAGTTACAAACATGTTTACTTGCAACAGTAGGCATCAGGCCAAGGAGACTGCAGTTGTCAGCATACAAACAGCTCACTCCAAAATGGGGTATGTTACCATAAAACGGGGGTGTTAGATTCATTTGAATGAGGGGTGGGGGTCTGGTCTGTGCCCAGACCACAGGTTTGGTCCAAACCAGACCTATAGCCTGCCCCCATGCACTGGAGCCAGCATGCAGGGCCAGTCTAGCATAGGCAGCTCATGTACTGAGACCAGTCTGGGACTTGAATACAGAGCCAGCACAAGGCATGCACTGCCTGCAGCACCTGGCTGGACTGACTCTGCATGCTGGCTCAATGCATGAGGCCAGTCTGTAAGTAGAATTGGAACTGGTACCAGTCAGGGTACAGCGGCAGTCTGACAGGACACTGCATGCAGCACTTGCCCCAGATCAGCCCCCCATGCTATATGCAGTGCACATGCCAGGTCCTGTCCTACAAACCTATGCAGCATGAGCTGGCCCCAGTCCAGGGCTGACACTGCATGTGGACCCTGGGCCAGCTCTGGATGCCTACAGGCACCATCATTGACACCCCTGCCATAAAACACTCTTTGTACTGGACTTCAGCTTTCTCATACACAGCACTTAGTCCTCATTCCTTCAGTGACTGTAGCTTCCCAGCAGGCCAGGAAGTCTAACAAATAGCTTAGGCTTTGCTAGATGTCAGTGCTGGCTTCCCTTGGAGGTGATGTAACATTCCTTCTGTACTGGCTACATTGTCTGTGACAGAACAGAGATGTGCACAAGTTATGTCAGGTAGTTCACTCACCAACGGAAGCAGGGTTAGCCCCTGGCATTAGCCTGGCTAGAAGCATGCAGAAGGGTAGTTACCATGATACAGCCAACACTAAATTCACACTGAAGCTATACCTGAAGATTCAGCAACAGCTGGGCAGGAAAGGAACTAGGCAAAACAGCGAATGAGATGCCGCTGGAGGCTTTAACTAGATCCAGACAGATATAGAGAACTGTAAAATACATTTATTCACCACATACAGAAACTATATATTGGAGTTGAGTAATGGCAAGATTTTAGAAACTAAGACAGCCAGGGACCAGAAGCCTGTACACAAAACATAGGTACATATAAAACTAGGGTAGAGAAAAGGGCGTGTCTATTTATCTTCTTCTGCAGAAAGGCTTGGTTTTAAAAAGGGTAAGTGACCACAGGCCAGGTTTTCCTTGCCCTTCCACAGGATTCTTTCCCCTTGGAAGAATTCCATTTGAGAAATACAAAAGAAAAGCAATCATCAGGGACGTAGTGAAAAAGAGGCTCTTTTTAATTCTCCACCAAACGACACTGCTGGTTTTCCTTGTTCAAGTCATCCCAGGCAGAAGCCCCCAATTTGAGGCTGCGACCCGACTCCGCTGTCACTTCCTTCCTCTCCCCTAGGTTCTCTGTCAGCGACAGGTGTCTCTTACCCTGCAGAAGAGAAAAAAAAAAAGAGTACAGAGGGCAAGTTAGTCTGAGGTGCTCCTCTCTGTGGTTCTGGGAAGTTCTTACAGGGATACTGTGCCCAGCTCTATGCCCCCATAATCCCCAAAAAGTTGATGGAGCCGAGAAGAGCCACTAAAGTGCTCAGAGGCCAGACTTCTGGGGAGATACATGGCCCGATTTGGGAATGCCATGATAAGACAAGAGAGACAAAAGAACTATCTATAAGCATCTAAGTGTCAATCTTCAGCAATACAGGGTCTGTGTGCTTGGGTCACCACCCCAAAGCAAGGGCTTGGGAAATGAAGAGCCAGGAGTTCTGTCTCCAAGCAAGAGACAAAGTTCTCAAATGAGGAGCAGCAGCATTGGGAAACTGAGGACTCCAACCCCATACTACCTCTTATCTGAACCCCATCCTTCCATTAAGTATCACCTGGCGAGGAACAAGGTTGCTTGGGGAATTGTCGTCCTGGAGGATGATGAGAGGAGAGCGCCCAGTACCACCAGAGGCTGCTAGGATTTTGTTGCTGGTTTTGCGTCTTGTGGGCTTGCCTGCTGGAGACGAAGTCATGCAAAAATTAATAGCCACAGCTATTAGGCTAGTTTCACAGATTTGTATTGCCCTGCCTGGCATATATTGTTCACAGCAGACCACACCTCATCCTCAGGCATCAAATCCAATGACCTGACATCAGGCAACAGCAGATCTTTTCAAAGGAGCTTCATTATGAAGACTCTCAGCACAGTCCAAGATAAGTTGTACCAATGCTTGCATACTCTCTCCATTCTTACATCTGCTCCATGAGAAACTGCAGAGAAATTTCTATCCATGCTGAACTTCCCTGTGCTCCTATATCAGATAGGGAAGCAACTCCATACTCGCGCTCCCTTTCCCCTCTCAACCCAATAGCCATATTCCCTGGAGAAAAAAGCCTGCCATACCAGACTGGGTCTGAGGGAATCTTTTACTTCCAAACCCCCTGTTAAAGAGCACTATTTTAAAAGAAAGGAGTGTGTTAGGTATCCTGCTCTTCAATCAAACAACCAGTTGAAATACAGAAGTAGAAGGCAGAAGAGAAACAGTATGGGCTGATGGCAAAGCCAAGGGAAAGGTGCTAGAGGGTGTGCTTCAGTTGAAATGGGAAATAATGAAAGGAGGGACATGTAGTCAGGGTACAAGTAAAAAAATAGATGTCTATGGAACAGGGCAAGATGCACAAAGCTGCCCTGGGAAGGCAGGTCAGAGGGCTCCATGGAGGTGGTTGGTCATGTCCTAGGCAGAATTCAGGACCCTCTCTCTCTCACATCCAAGCTATATATTGTACCAGAATACTAGGGTCTCTACTTCTCCACCTCTGTTGCAAGGTTCTGTTGGTCTTAAATCAAAGATGAATCATTCCTTCCCTTTCCCCCCACTCCCACCCCTAGTACTTCACAGCCTGCAGCAGGAGGTCCAGTTCTGTTGCTGCTCTAGGCTAGCTTGCTCCCCCTCCAAAACCTGCTTACAACTTATATTAGCCTCCCACCTCCCTCAGAGCTCCCTCCATGAAAACAAACTGCTTATTCCTCCAGCCTTCCTCATATATGTGCTGTGGGCCCCACCTGCCCCACCCACAGGAACCTTCACATCCTGCCTTCTTGGCTCATTATTCTTATCTCCTGCTGCATGGCTAGGAGGATCCCTCAGTTCTCGTGAGCATCCCAGTGAATCTCCAACCCCTACCCAGGCAAAGCCCACAGAACACATGAACTCACTTGAAGGAAAAATAGGCTCTGTGAAGCAAGCTGGCCTCATTACAGCCCCAGTACAAGTACTGGGAGATGGCTGCTTCTCTCCCTCCTCTACCAACACTGAGGTCTTCTCCATGGAAGCATCCCTGGAAGAGCTCTCCTCCTGGACCTTCCTTCCTTTTGCTTCTTGCCCTGGAACATCGACAGCTCCAGGCTTTGGTCCCTGGGCTAGTGGCTGCTCCAGCTGCAACTCCCGATCCAGCAGCTCTGCTCCAAAAGCTTCACTAAGCTGCTTCACCAAGCAGTTTATGGTGTCTGGGAAGAAGAGATACAGGAGGCACAAAGAGCAAGGTTGAGGCAACTCAAGCAGAGAAGGAACCCTTTCCCATGTAGATCCCTTTATACAAAGGCACTGCAAACCCACCAGAGCCGCCCCCCTCCATAAGAGAGGGTGGAGCTGAAATGGGCTCAGCAAAGAACCAAAGAAACAAAACAAAACAAACAAACAAAAACCCACTTAGAAATGCAGAGTCACATTCTGGTGAAAGGTAACAAGTAGTAAATCCACCTACCTCAGTAAAAGCAGGCTTATGGAAGCAAGTTATTTACCAATATCTCAGGGCTAAAAAAAAACCTAAGACACTGTGGGAGAAGGAAAACTGAACCTGGTAAATGATCACCATCACTAAAGAGTTTGCAAGTGTGTTGAACACTCTTCATGAAGAAAAGGCCCAGAGTCCCACCACTTGGACTAAATGGCTAAGAGCCCCGAGAAATGGGCTGAAGAGAATGAAACATGTAGAAACCCCCCCCCCCCCCAAAAAACAAAACCACATTCTCAGAGAACATGTACACTCACCACTCATCAAGACTTTCATGGGGGTGCGCGAGATGCCACGGGTAGGTGATCGTGGATCCCAGCTCTGGCTCTGTCCAGCTGCTCCCATCTCTTCTTTGTGCTCAGGAAGAGGGCTGCTCTGTGGGGATTTCTCTACCTGTGGAAATAAAAAACAAACCTGAAGGGGAGGGTGGAACCAAACAAAAAGGGTAGGATCCAGGTGGAACCAAAGCAGACAGAAGCAGGATAGGCAAAGACAGCAGGCTTGAGATATAAAAAAAGTATCTAATTGGATTTTTTATTTAAATTGTCATAGAATCATAGCAAGTTAGGGTTGGAAAGGACCTCAGGAGGTCATCTAGTTCAACCCCCTGTTCAAAGCAGGACCATCCCCAATTAGATCATCCCAGCCAAAGCTTTGTGTAGCCAAGTCTTCAAAACCTCCAAGGATGGAAAATCCACAATCTCTCTGGGTAACCTGCTCCAGTGCTTTACTACCCTTCTAGTGAGAAAATTCATCCTAATATCTAACCTAAACTTCCCTTGCTGCAACTTGAGACCAT